GCTAACATGATCATTGCAACCCCTTAAAAGAAGCTCAAACTCAAAACACGTATTCCATTTTCAAGGTGATTTTTCTGACTTTTAAACTCTTCATATAGGCATCATTTGGTTTCCATTTGTGAAGATAAAATAAAGATATCATAGCCCTGAAACTAGTCATGTCCTTAGAATTCATTTATGTTGCTTGAGTAGTGAGAATTTTGAACTTGAACTTCTTGAAAAATTATGTCAGAATTTGCTACTATTTAAAATTCACGCTCATCTTTAATTTATAGCTTTAGTTATTTATATGATTGAAATCGTGATGAAATTTGGAACAACTTTCATGTTTATAATTTTAAAAATGATTGAGAAATGAAGAAGTTGCAGTTTTGATAATGTTGATGTTCATCCCTACGCTCGCGAAGGTTGAAGATGAAGTTCAAATTTTGGAAACTTGGTTTATTTTAAATTTATTGATAGTTGTTCTATACACGAATGAAACAGCCACCCTAGTGGCAGAGAGCGCGCGCGTAAGGCTTTGGTCTATAGAGACCTGGGTTCGAGCCCCAGTGGTACTCTTTTGTATTTAATTAATTTGTTTATTTCAGATTCTATGCATACAAGCAAGGTGCGCATACCATGGACTTCATATCAGCACCATTTGATCATTGAACAATCAAATCCAGCGTCTCACATAAACAAGCGCATGATACACCTCAAGAAATCAACCACACTGGATCAACATAGGCACTTGGGCCTCCTGACTTTAGGCTTGGAATTATTTGTTCTTCTCACCCCCCATTTCACTTTCCAATAACCAGGCACATCTTCTTTTTATTCTTATTTTCTGATTTCAAACAAAAAACACATATTGGACCTAAACTCCCTGTTTGCTAGCTTTATACGCCCTTTTTACTTTCTAACACCTAGGATCAATATTTGTATATTCTTTATATATTTTCTTCACCTTTACTTATTTATTTATTTTATTATTTTATTTTAACCAAAAAATATAAAAAATTATTATTTTTAAATAATTTTCTATTTTTATTTTATTTTCATCTTATTTATTTTTATAAATAAAACACCAAAACAAAAATATTTTTCTTAATTAAATTAATCTCTTTTAGAATTAAAACTAAATTAGACTTAGTCTTATTTAATTTTCTTTTTTAACTTAGAATTAGGTTTTGATTAAAAAATCAATTAACTCCTTTTGTGATTAAAATTAATTAATTAATTAGGTTGACATTAAACCTTTTTCATCCATAAAAAATCACAAAAATCATTCTCTTTTCTTGTGCATTACCTTTATATTCTTGTATATTTTATTTTGCAATATTCAATATGGTTGTAATAGTAATTAAGTTTTAATTGCTTTCATCCCCATTTGTAATTTGTATCCCCATCTCTTAAAATATTGTAATACGTGGGACTTTAAATTCCCGCAATTTATCGCTTTCAATATTATTGCTAGTAATTAGGGTTTGTATGGCAAGACATAAAATCAACAAGTAAAAAACCCTAATGCAAAAACAAAAATGCATGAAATCAAAACACTTGGAACACTTGCACCTCTAGGGTTAACCCACACTTGTTGCCTTAGAATAAACAGTCATGTCCCTCAAACGTGGGATACTTTAGCAATGACCCTCGAATACAAGATCGTAGTCCATCGATGACCCCACGATGTTACCTTTGGTAAACGATCTTAACCCCTTAAGATAAATTGCTAAGGTATCCTACAATGTTGCCTTCTATGACTGTGCGACGACCCATGTTTGTCCCTTTACATCCAATAATTTGGTTGCTTACTAACTAATAGTAAGATAACACTCGTAGAACTAAGATATTTTGAGTAGGTAGAACGCTCGTAGTTGTTTGCTCACAAATAAAATCATTTTCACACTTACGTTTTCCAAATATCTTTCCAATAACAAACATCTCTTTGAACTATTTTCAAAAACCAACACTTTATATACATTCTCGTCGAAACGAGAATCATTACAAAGTTTGCCGAAACAAAGGCGTTTTAAAAATATTTTCAAACTTACACAAAACACAAACATTTATAAAACATTTCAAAGTGATATAGCAACTAAGAGCTTGTAGATAACTACGGATGAAAAGGGTGCTAATATCTTCCCTTTTCATAACCTACTCCGAACTCAAGAAAATTCTCAAAAGGTCTTTCTTGTTCTTTTCACCCTTTCCTTTATTGGATAAAAGAAAAGTCAGTGACGACTCTTGCTATCTGCAACAATTGCGATAAAACGCAAAACCACCAAGTCAGTTTTCCCACCATATTACACCGGCGTTCGGGCGCGGCTCAATCTAGGGGGTTGCATGTGCCTACATTTTCCTCGTCGTTAGAATCGAGAAAAATAACTTCTTCGACTGGTTGGGCCATCTTACCTGAAAAGCAGGAGAAACAGTGAATTCAACATCAACAAATTCACCCTTCTACCGCAAGTCAAGTGAAAAGGCAAGGAGTGTCTTGACGGTAGGTCCCCGACTCAAACCCTTAATGGCAACGAAAAAGTAACTGACATCCTCGTAAGTATAAAATCGCGTAGAGGCGTTTCCTAGACGAAGCGACTTACTCGACCCCCCAGTTCACGGGGAGAATGACCCCGACATGCACCCAGATGAAGTTTGTCCGAAGTTCATGAATCTTCATCCAAAATTCATGAAGTTCATCTGAAGTTCATGAATCTTCATCCAAAATTCATGAACTTCATCGGGAAATTCATCTGTTCCCAAGAAGATTCGTCAGAAACATCATGTCCACTAGAAATTTCATACACTCAATCTAAAATCCTAAGATAAACTAAAATGATTAAGAGAATCACTTACTTGAAAAAGGATGAATGCTGGAAGTTCCTACAGTGGCAGCGGCGGCGACGACAGAGCAGCTAGCAAATGAAGAAGAGGCGACTGGAGAGCAAAGTCGAAAATGGCTAAGTAAATTTCTTCACTCCCTTTTTATAAATGTTCCACACCACACGGGGTGACGTGCGAGGGGTCATCATTACTTAGGCTCTTAGCTGCCACGTGACACGCGAAGTGATTTGTCGTTTTGACCTCCACAAATCTCACGCGTGAAGCCACGCGCTGACGTTATTCCAAAAGTCTTAAGTGGCAAGCACGTGTTCGACATCATTGTGGTGTCTTTCTTTGGGCACGTAGAAAATACAAACCCGGGGAAAACCCTACACTTTCCCCGCGGATGCAAATTCTAAACGAGCACCTGCGTCGAGACGGGCAACTTGCGAATCTACCGAGGTCCTTCGAGACAAATCGATCGTACCGCTCGCACGTCCTCGCTCTGACGTAACTTAACAGCTCTTTTGTTGGGCAACTCTTCCTCGACGATTAAACTATTGAGCAACTTTTCCCCGACGATTAAGTTGGTCTTAAGTAATCACTTTTTCGTTTAAGAGCAATGACTTGGGAGGCTCTTGTTCTGGACTAGGTCAACACTTGACCCTCCATTGAGCAGACCTAATCCAGTTCCCTTGCTACGGTCCAATGGCATCAAGCCCAAATAAATAGTTATGGGAGATTTCCCCACATGTCCACTAGGGAAACATGGTCAACAGTTATCCGTAATCATCACCATCCTACCCACTGAGAATAATAGGTTCAATTTTCTTATTATCTTGGGACAATTGGCCAGGGAGGAGGCCACGTGTTGGACTCCACTACTCACGTAACTCTGACAGTCTTCGTTATTGGGCCTAACTATCTGGTCAAATACATGGGTTTTGGCCAGCACTGGGGCTATAAATATCCTCTCACATGAGAGTCAAATATTCATTCATTCACTCATTTCTAGTACTTGCACTCTAATTGTCTTTATTCTCACTTTGTCATACTGCCGTCCAACTCAAACTTGTGGATCATCGATGATCTCTTCTGATCACGTACGATCCAAAATAATATAATAAAAAAAATGAAAATTTCTTTTCAAAAAGTTGCAAAAATATAATAATCCAAACGGTGTACAAGGGACTAATGTAATCAGAAGGTTGTGAAGCAGGGTACCTAGTGCAGCAGCATTGCTAATGGCAAGATCAGGTTTGTTATCATCTCCTGAAATTATAGTCACTAAGCTTCTGCGATCTCATATAAGGAGTCTTGAAGTCGTCTTTTGAACTGGAGTTGATTTCAGAATCTTTCTCAGGCAGTATTTGCAGCACTTGTTGGGTAGCTGTCTCTGAATTCAAATCCAGGTGAAAAGACATGCTTTTGCAAAAGAAACAAATCTTGAAGAGTTTAGATTGGTCCTTCCTGTGAATTCTGATCTTCCACGGCCTCTTGGAGTATGAAATATCCTACTATTGTAGTTGGGAATGGATCGTAAAGAAGTTAAGGGTTTTCATCTAAAATGATACCCTTGGAAATTTTAGACTTGAGTTCGAGTGTTATTGCATTGTTTCCAAACATCAAAGAGGACATCGTCTTGTAAAGAAGAGGCGCTTCACGCTAGAGGCGCTTCACGCTAAGGTTTTGGTCAGGATAAGAGTAGAAGGGATCATGTCGATGGGATGGCATAGGATCGATTGAATAAGTTCTTTTGGGATCACTGCTGTTCTTTTCATCCAAACCAGCGTTGTGACATCTACTATTTGATGTATGTCTCGTTTGATTTAATAACAAATTTGCTTAGAGATTATAATTTCTTCACTAATATCCAAAGTTAAATTTGCTCAAAAGTTATATTCGAGAATTTATAAAAATTGTTAAAAGGTGCCCAAGTATGTTAGTGAGGCCCTGTTAACAGGGCAACAGATCTAAATTTTATAAAAACCCAGAAGCACATTATCAGAAATCAGTAATAATTAGTCATCTACTAATATCTCATTATCCTTTCAACCGATCGTTTATACACAACCAAATTGAGAGGTACACATAAGGGAAACAGTAAACCATAACAAAAGTCAAAACGTTAGATCCCAACATCTAATCTAGCAACTAAGCATTATTAGTACTCGTAAACTTCCACCTAAAACACACTACTCCCTCCAGTTTCCACCACCACCACCACCACCGCGGGAATAACCACCGTCATTGCCATATCCACGGTCCCTGCTTCCACCATAACCACCTCCACCACCATATCCTCCTCCTCCACCTTCACGACGACCACCATATCCACCATCTCCACCTTCACGACGACCACCATAGCCACCGCCTCCACCACCACCACCACCGCTACGGTTCTGAGCTTCGTTCACAGTAATGTTACGTCCATCCATGTTCTGACCATTCATCCCCTCAATGGCATCTCTCATTGACTTCTCATTAGCGAATGTCACAAATCCAAAACCTCTAGACCTTCCAGTCTCACGATCATTAATGATCTGCACACAAAAAAAAACCAAAATCTCAGATCCAAATAAAAAACCCTAATACCAAGCAAAAAAAAACCCATATAGTAATCGATCAATCTTCGCCTTCGTTCAAAAAGATGAAGATGAACGTACCTACTGAGGTGAGTGAGTAATAAACATATCATATGATATAGTAACAGTATCAGTAACAGAATAACAGAACAAGTAACACAATAAAGATCAAAGATCACAGATCAGAACGGGATCGAGAAAATCCGAATCATAATCGTGTCAGATCCAATGCCTGCAACAAACGGACCTTCGAATCAATGATGTCGCCGTAAGAAGAGAAGGCGTTCTCGAGAGCTTTGCTGTCGGTGGCCCATGCAAGACCGCCGACGAAGCACCGGTACTCAGCATCTCCAGACGCCATTGATAAAGGACAAAAAGCTAGATTTTAGGATGAAAAGGAAATTTCAAAGTTAGTAGGAGATGACACTAAAGATATTTTGTGATTTTCTATATTATAAGGTCTAGTTATTTATAGATGGAGATGTGTTACCTACTAGGGATATTAATGTAAATGATCGTAGAAGATATTTTTGATCCTCTTCCCAAGGTGGTAACTAGGGTTACGCTTGTGTTAAAAAGTTACCAGGGTGAGTTAAACTTTTTAAACTTTTTGAGACTGTATAGTTCCGTAGTGTGCATATCGAGTTCACCCATTTTGGCTTGCTATGCATATCGGGTTGATGGAGAGTTTTCTTTTATTTTCTTAAAATATCTTTAATGAAGAAAATATGGTTGTTTGTTATTATGGATGAAAATAGGTTGGGTTGCGCTAGACTTTATTAAGTCTGAGTTTGACCTATTAAAAATATCAGAGTTTAAGTTGGAATGTGGTATATCATAAATTTAATTTTGGGTATGATCTTTTTGAAAGTCTGATTGGTCTGCTAAACTATTTAAAAGCTTATTTTATTTGAATATATGTAAATAAACAATTTGATTAATATTTTTATAGACTAAAAAACTAAAAAATCAATGGTACTAAAGTTTGTTTGAATTGACTTATCTGAACTTACATATTAGCATAAGTATCGTGAGACTATTTGTTTAGAAAAACTTATGAAAATAACTTATGAAAAAATTCATAAGGTATTTTCAGCATATTCAAATAAGTTCTTCAAGATAACTGAGTTTTATTTTTGTATTTTAATTCAAAGTATAAAATATAATATAATTATAATAATGAAATTATTTATATAGGTCGATTTGATAGGTTTAAAAGGCTTTTTTTTGTGGCCCGAGGTCTGACATTTTTAACTAAATAGGCTTATAAAAAAGCATAGGCCTTTTCTATTTAAAAAAAATATGGTATGGCCTAGGCATGTGTAGGCTAAGCTCTAAGTCCCTGTTAGTTAGTCTGACTTATTTTCACCCCTATTTGTTGTACATCATTAAATAGAGTTGTACACTCCCGAATATTTATCTAGTTCGAGTGGTGAATTCGGCCAAAAGTCAGGGTGTGGGTGTTGGCTGAAGATTTTGATAATATTATTAGAAGCCAAGCGAATTGAACGTTTCGATCGAAATGAAACAAAGCGTCATGTTTCGAAGTAGCAGAAGCAGTGTTTCGAATAAGCATATCAAAGTTTGAAGCTTCGAGTGGCAATTATGGGAACATATCTAAAGAAGTCTCGAAATAACAACAAGGCTGTGTCTGAGAAATGCGTTCGAAACGGAGAAGTACCAAAGCATTTGAAATTCAAATGGAAGCGAGACATTCGAAGTTTGAAATTTATGTGCTGGAGCGTTTGGAGACACGTGGAAAGAAGAGAGAGGCATTGTTCTGCATGTTCTGAACGTGGCATAATCCTATAGCAAGACCGTTATGGTCGAATTAGTATAAATAGAAGTCTTAGTATTAGGATTTCGTGTGTCATATCTATTGTACTAAATACTCAGTAACATTCAAATTACCACATGGCTAGGGAAACGAATGCAAGAGCAATGTACGTATGATAGCACCACATATTTATGATTTAATGAAAACCTTTTATCATTTCCAGCACTTTCCTTTATCTTTCTGCCAAATAACATTTACAAGTTTTCTCATTCAAAGTCTTTTTATTTCGAAATCGCTCCATTAAAGCTTTACATTTCAATGCTTTCTTTACATTTCAAGCACTTTACATTTCAGAAAACTGTCATACTTTTCATGCCTTTATCTTCAAGTTTTGTCTTTCGAAAGTCTATTTTTACTTAAAGTCATTTACAGATTTCTTGCATTAAACGCTTTCTTCATATTTCGAATCTTTTACGTTCCAGAGCATCTTTTACATTAACTGTTTTTATAATTCGAAGCCATTTACTTGCCTTTTATGCAATTTTACATGTCTTTACAATTAACATTTATTCATGCAATTTAGTTTCGCACACGCATATTTTGATTACACCTTTAGATCTTTAAGAGAGAAATCGAAATAAGCCAAACACCTATACAACACTCAAATACCAACCATGAATATCTATTCGATCATGAGAGTTACCCTAATGACCAAGGAATCCTAGGATCAATCTAGTCGATCCTGTGAGTTACCAAAGAAATTGAATAACAGTCAGTAAGTTTATTCGATAGTTTGGAAGACTAGCGGTTGTTTACCAGAAATCACTGGAAACAAATTGGCACACCCGGTGGGACCCATAATTGGACATTAGAAATAAAGATTGTTGAGACATAACCATTATAAAAACGTTGGAACTTAAGAAGTTTGCTGTTTTATGAACCTAAGAAGTGGTAAAATAACCAACAGCAACCAACCCTTATCCAGAAGAAAACGTTTGGCCAAAATGTCTAATTCTGACAATCAACAAGGGGAACAAAATGCCCCACATACAACAGGCACTAATGTGTCCACTTCGATGGGAACATCTAATGTGATCCCTTCGAATGCACAGTCTGTTGCATCTTCAACCAGTAATATAGCCACCAATGGAGTAAGTGGCATATCAACTAATAGTTCGATCTTAGGAAATACTGGAACCATTGGTTACCCTGGGGGATTCGTTCCACCATCAGGGACACAATCCCATTTCGCCACTCCACTAACTAGACCACCCGGTTTCGATGGTAATAGAACCAAAAATTCCTCTTATGGAATGCCAACTTCCTTTATGGCAGGTTTACACAATTCCACATCGAATTCATCACCACAATTAGGGTCTGGGTCTGGGGCGAATCAGTTTATGACAAATAACCAAGGGTCAGTGGGTTATAGCATAATGCCTATTCTAACCACAGAAAACCAGTTGGCTTTTAGGCAATTGATGGATGACAGTAACCATAATATGATAGGGGTGTTAGCACAAACTATGCAGGAAATATTTGCCTAAATAGTACAAAATGTGACTGTGACAAACAGGGAAAACGCTGACAACATGAGTCGAATAGCAGATTTCTTTGCCCCCCCAGAAAGGCGTAGGCAGAATCAGGCGGGATTTCGAGCAAACATGCCTGTTATAGAACAAATTGCTAACGACCCAATTTATAGACCACCTAGAGAAGAAGTTAACTTAGGGGCCAGGGCACCAAGGTTAGAAGCCCCAATAATCCCAGGCCCACAAGGAGAAATTATGGAACCAGGGGCAAGGGTCGAAAGGCTAGAAGCCCCAGAGTTTCGAGAAGAACAACCTAGGGGAGTTGTCCTGGTTGGTCAAAATCAAGATGCCGATGCTGTCGTTCATAGAATTTGAAACGATAACATCTTGGCAGAAAACAATCTAACCACCATGATAGAGAGAGTCATGGCCCAGAATGGCCTCAACACAGGAATGAGAAGGCCAAATTATACTTCTCCTATATTAGATTGCATAATGCATACTGATTTACCAAGGGGATATAAAGTCCCTAAATTTACAAAGTTCGCTGGGGATACCAATGAGTCAACAGTCGAACACATAGCGAGATATCTAACCGAAGCGGGAGATATAGCCAATAATGAAGATCTCAGGATCAAATACTTCCTAAGTTCCTTGACTAAAAACGCCTTCACATGGTTTACCACTTTTCCTCCCGGGTCCATTGACACTTGGGCTCTCTTGGAGAGATTATTCCATGAACAATTTTACATGGGACAGTCGAAAATAAGCTTGAAGGAATTAGCCAGTGTCAAGAGAAAGTTCACCGAACCCATAGATGATTATCTGAATAGATTTAGGCTTTTGAAATCCAGATGTTACACAGTAGTGCCTGAACATGAGTTAGTCGAAATGGCCACTGGTGGCTTGGATTACTCTATTCGAAAGAAACTAGACACTCAATATTTGAGGGATATGGCTCAGTTAGCCGATAGGGTTCGACAGGTCGAAAGGCTAAAGGCCGAAAAAGCCAGAGTCTTTAAGAATAGCAAGAAAGAAAGGATCTCTTATGTTGGAACTGAGGAAGCAGAAGAATATCCTGAATTCGAATTCGAAGAGGTCGAAATCGACCTTGCTGAATTAAAACAGGCTCTACCTTATTCCTGCAAATTATTGGTTCCCACAAAAGGGAAAGAGATTGTTGAAAATGAGAAAAGTGACAAATTCCCAAAGAAGGTTTATACCTTCGATGTCACTAAATGTGACGAGATTTTTGACTTACTTGTCAAAGATGGCCAACTCATTGTGCCATCAAATGTCAAAATACCTCCTTTAGATCAGAGAAAGAAGAGAGGGTTTTGCAAATATCATAGTTTCCTAGGCCACAAAACCTCACAATATTTTCTTTTCAGGGACCTAATTCAAAATGCAATCAAAGATGGCAGACTAAAGTTCGATGATAGGGCAAAGATGAAAGTGGACGAAGATCCCTTGGACGTTGCAGACACTAACTACTCCGAGCCTGCATGCATTGGAGAGATCAACATGGTGGAAACTGACCAAAGCGATGCCTTAACAAGAGAGAAAGGTACTGAAACTGAAAACTGGGTGATGGTCGAAGTCGATAAGGAGGTCACTGAAGACATCCAGAAGACGCCAGAGACTTCGATTGAAGCAGCACCTGTAGCTGTTGCAAAAGAAATCCAGGCTACTGAAGGCCAGGGAAATCAAAACCAAGAACTAACACAGGTCACTGAAGGCTTGAGGCTGGAATTGGAGAAAGTCCAAATCACGAAGCCAACTTCCCCTCAGAAGGAAATATGGGACACTCTAGGGGAACCCAGTGGAAAATTTGACTATTTGGTCAAATATTCTGCCCCAGAGAGTTCGAAGGTTCAGATTGAGGATATAAAGCCCACGGGATGGGGCGATGATGAAGCTAAGGGGGAAGATGTTGAGATAAATATGGTGGATATGGAGAGGCCTCGTTCTGAGATGGAGGAGGTAGAAAAATACTTAGAAAAAGAGAAGTATAGAATGGAGGATAATCACACTGGAGATGCTAGTCTCAAG